CTATAAACCCGCAGCAGAAAATTCAGAATAAATAATTTTGATTTATATTACTGTAGCAGGTACTGTACTGCTGGAGTTCACAAGCAAACGTAATCCATTTCTGTGGAAGTCTGTTTTTTTTTTTTTTTTTTTTTTTTTTTATTTTTTTTTTTTTTTTTTTTTTTTTTTTTTTTTTAAATCCAGAAAGTTTGTTGACTGAGTAACATGAATTCATGTGGTTCGGCTGACGTAAATATCTTCCGAGAGCCCAAAAAGACGCCTAACTTTGAAATTTAACGCTACACATAAATCGGAATGATCGGTGACTTAAATTGGATATAAAAAGAGTTGTTGATGTTCACAAGACGTATATTATTATGCCTTAAAAATACAGTGTTGTAATTCCATTCGATAAATTCCCGATAAATCACAAATGTCGTATGCATTTCTGGATTAATCTTTGCATATCCCGATCAAACTTTCGCGATTAATCTAACGTAATGAGCTGAACATTTTGTACATGAATAAGATTAGGAAATGGCCTGATTTGACTTGTCCTCATGATTTGAATGATACTCGTAGGCTCGAATTTAATTGCTTATGCACATGCAACTGTTCTGAATCCCCAGAAAAGGTCCTTCTGAACTAGTATCCAGCATGAAAAGCACTTCATCTGTTCCAAATTAATGGGAGACAGAGATAAAGGCACTTTCGGAATGGAGTATACGAAAGACCGGAAGTTGAAGAAAAAAACAAAATGGGTTCGGATGAGAAACATGAAACAGACAGCCGGAAATTCTACTCATTTCAAAGCTTGACGTCAGGATGAACCCGTCTCATTTTACTCGTGACTGGAACTCACGATTCCATCCGGGTGTTTCGAAAATAAAAAAATTTACAGTTCAGTATTTCGCCGAACAAATTTTCGCCAATACTGTATTTAAAAATGTGCAAGGTTTTAAAGTAGAATGATCGCTCTAAAATCGACCAGGCTTCAAATTTTTTTTGCGTCCAGGTTTGCACAGATGATTTTTTCAGTTTTTCAGAGCAGTTCAATGCGATCATTTCGCTTTTTTTTTAATCATTTATACTCGAATACTGGATATTTTGATTCTTTTTTCCTTTATTCGGCTTTCATACGTGTAGCCTAAAACCAGACAAACGTTATAACATTTTTTCGGCGCTTTAATGAGCTAGACTGGATTGCGTGGCAATTCTTCCAGACTGCAAAACTTTGTCTCTGCTGCAGAATTATCTGATCAGCTTGTGGATAAAAGGCTAGAAATTGTACCTACTTTCGAAATACAGGTATAGAAATTTCGGGGGTAAAAGAGGAATGAATAAACTGAAAAACTGAAATAAGTTTGTAAATTTAAATTCCTTCCGAATAAAAAGATTTCTTTTGCGTTCCCGATTGAAGTGTTCACTTTCAAGGTATTCCTATTTGTTGCAAACGTAATTTCTTCCTTAGATTTAAAATTCGAGCCACACGCAAGCATCAACAGGGTATTGACAGCAATTTTTCTCAAAATTCGTTCCTCGCGAGCAACACAATCTGAAAATAAGGAAGACATTTTTAAATTCAACTTCTATAAATAATTGAAATTATTCACGCATTCGTATTGAAATTTCCACAGAAAAAGATTGAAAACTCAAAAATCGAAATCGTATTTTATGACTCCATCACACGTCAACAACAGCGTTCTTGAAGCGGAAAAAAGTCTTGGCAAGAGATCGAATTGCATCGCAGTGGATGAGAGGGGGGGGGGTAATAAATAGATAGAAAATATTCTGCATTTGAAAAAGCTCCGAAATAAACCGATTTGTCAGTGACGTGGAAACGAGGGTCTGATGCAACCGAATTTCACATAACCCGGAAACCTCCGTTAAGTTCACGGAAAAGCGTCAATGCAATCGCCGGAATAAAATTTAATGAATCACGAATTTCCACAAGTAGAAACGACTTTTGCGCGGAGATTCAACCTCAGTTTATTGAATCGGAGAGAACCGTAACAATCGTTCAACGAAATTTGAATGTTCACGTGCAATTCATAATCATAGTATTCATAGATCATTCATCATGCTAGCAGCTTCAATACAAGACGCAATAGTCTCTATGTTAGTATCGATTAATTGCTTTCGAAAACTTCAAAATTGATAGCGTCGAAATGAATTATTGATGGATGGCAATCGTCAACATAGGAAAACTCACAAGCGCGCGTATAGAACCCGTAATCTAGCGACATCTGACATTGAAGTCAATAAACAAGCAACGAAAACTTGCTCGCGATTCTCTAGGTGAAGCCTGATCTGCCTGCTAGGATGTGAATGAGGTTGGTCGGGCCTGACGACGTTATTCCAACCACCCCATCTCCACTCGCAGGTCCTAATCCTCCAATGAATGTAAGACGATTCGATGATTCGCACATCTTTTTTAAATCAACTAGTTCGTCTTATGACCTAGATAATCATGAAACACAGAGGATCTTTTATGTGGGGTCATTACTGCTGAATTGATTTTGACTAGGGTGGACCGTATAGCGCAGTACAATGCTTGATCACACCAATTGAAATGGCTCCAGTAATAACAACAACATTAAAAAGCCATCCTCTCCTCGGTAGTATACTTCTGAACTTTCGTTGTCCAATTGCAATCCGAAGGTCTTGATAAAATCTGATTGCGATAAGTATCAATGTGACAAATAGACGTTCAGGCTTCCAAATTTTCTTGTAGAATTCGTCGAAACTCGCAAGTCGGTGAGTTAAAAAGAGTGACGTCTTCCGATGCTCATTTCGAATTTGCTATCAAACCAGCTTTTAAATTTGGGTACACCAAGAACTTCCACTAAAGAATTAGGCATTTCTGATTTTCTGAAGAAAAAAAAAAAAACCTTAGAAGCTTTCAAGGTTACCTAGCCAGTTTAGGAACACGCTGTATGGGCAGCTAGGGAAGATCGATGCACATCTTCAAGTACTGTACAAGTGGTACCTCGCAATTCAACCTCCGGCAATTCGACCGTCCCGAAATTCGACGGTCGAGTTTGCAGGGAGGTTGACTCGCAATTCCACCCTTGCCCCACAATTTGACCTGCTTTGGCCATTTTTTCACGTTTTTACATTGATTTTTTCTTCTATTTATTTCGCAAAGAGTCTTGCAATTTGACCCTGGTTTGGCAACGGATTAGGGTCAAATTGCAAGGTACCACCTGTACTAGTACTTCCAGAGAGCCAATAGCTGAACCACATTCCATCCCACAAAAATTCCCTCCACGTGCGATTGAAATTTGAAAAAAATAAATAAATAAAAGGAACGTCTCTGCCCAATGGTAGGGTTCAATTTTTGGACACACAAATCGCTCATATACACTATCAAAAATGCTTGCGACTTGCATGAGACTGCACGAAGTTTCCCAGAGCCAGAGACAAGTTTCCGTCGTCATCTCACCCTCAGTGAGGTCAGTTGGGATTAGTCAGATGTTCTGACTAATCAGGGACAGAGCAGGAAAAAACGATGAAAATTATCAATTCTTCCTCCAGATCTAGATGAAGCAGGGTGAGTGGAGTCGCCTGTATTCTGTTCATCATATTCTCATCAAATGGTAAGGACAGATACTCAGGAGAGTCAAGGGCGTAATTCACTAGGAACCCCGTCAGCTGCCTCTTCTGCGAACGAATTGTGATTTTTTTACCGAACTGATCGACGTTCTTTCCGCCGGAAGTCTGACGTTTTCTGACTCAGATCTCACGTCAAGCACAGCTGATCTCTATAATATACATTCGTAAGCCTTAGACGTAGGTTCTACGCATTGAAAACGCAGATGTGAATTCTCAAGCGTTTCAAAGAGTGCACTTCAAAATAGATTCAAGACAGTTTCAGCCAAATTTATATAAGTTTCAGAAACAGAAACTTAGACTTTTTTTTTGTCAAGAAGAATGAAAAGGAAACAAACGCACGGTGTTGAGGTTTTTTGTAATTTTTTCTCATTTTTTTCCCGTCCGGCTTTATTACCCAAGAAGGTTGCCAATCAGTTTTTCTTCACATTAAACTGTTCACATCGGCAAATTCTAGAATGTTCTTAGTCTTCCCTTCTCGTCGAAAGGTGCAGGCATCGAAAAAAAAACCAATCATCGCTTCCCAGCACGAAACGAAACCAATCCGTCTCTTCTGCCTCCCCCTTACACACAATCGTCCTCCACGACAGCGTACAAGGCTCACATATCAAAAAACGGAGGAACCCAGTAAAACACGAGAACAAAAAAAAAATTCTACCCAAAAAAAAACCGTCGACGCCGGCGACAAGAAAAAAATAAAAGCGAGGGCGTCACTTTTTCGAACCCGGTGCGCCAAATCAAAAGAAAAAAAAACCACAACGGAGATCCTCTTCCTCGCCAGCGACGCAGAGGGGGGGAAGGCCTGCCGGGGAAACAAGAAGAAAAGAAAAAACCAGAACGGAACACCGCAGCAACTCTGGACCTTCACTGAAGATCAGGGTTCGAAATTCGGGGGTAAAAAGGCTGGGGGGGGGGGGGGGGGGGGGTAATCATTTTCCAGTTTCTTATTTCTTTATCTTACAACACTTGTAAATATTCAACAGCGGCGACGTCATGCCCTGTGTGTCGAAGCGAGCCCGCAAGCAAAAAACAACAAAAAAACCACCCTCAGCATACTCAACACTCGACATTCCGTAAAAACACCCACCGAAAAAAAAAACCGAAAGCAAACAAACATTTCGCGCGGAGAAAAATCCCGTTTCACAGCAGCAACCGCGGGGACAAAAATCCCACGCACAATTTTTTTTTTCTCTTTTTCAGCACAGAATGAAACCAAGCGTAACACCACGCATCCTCGAAAAGGACCTTCATAAATTATACCCCTTCCTAAAAACCTCCTAAATCGTTTTCTTTTCTTAAAAAGGATATACGAGAATTACACCGAGTCAAGGAATATTGAACAACCTCAAAACTTCACATCGAGGGGAACGTTCACATCCAAGAACTTCGCGGCGGGAGCTGGTTATCGAAGCAGCCACGTCAGGTTATAAAACTTGGGAGGGGGGTGGGGGGAAGAGGTATCAGAATGTCGAAGTTTCAGCGCAGCGCCACTCCGAAACGCGTCAAGTGAGGGTATAGTCTCCTGAGAGGGGACCCGAAACTGGTCATAGTACGCATGATGACACGAATGATTCAAGACAGGAAAAAAAAAAATTAGCGCGATAGTGTACCTTCGTAATCTATCTCCTAGGCTAAGTTTGATAATGAGCATCAATGTCGAGCTAGCGAGCAGTTGAGAATGATCAAGTGAACGAAGTAGTAGGTCCCCCTGCCTGGACTATACCCACAAAAATGTACTGAGAGGCATAGTGTGTGCACTTCAAAGCGTACGTAGCAGCGAACAAGTGACCACACTATACAATCATTACACGACACACCCTCAACACACTGCAGACTTTTTCTTTTCCTCTTTCTTTTTTTTTACTGAACCCGTTTTTCTCCTTTTTTCACTGTACTGGCAAATCAGGGGCGAGGTCATGAAAATCCAGCTAAATTTGAACTCGACGGCATACAAAAAAAAAACTTTGCGTTCCTTCGGGAAACATTCAGCAGAAGAAGCTACCGTATTATTTCGTTATAGGGAAAAATCAGCTTCACTGTACAACAAACACAAACCAGGCAACGAAAGTTCGATTGGCAATCGACACCACAGAAAAAAAAACCCCGCCAGACCATCTGACGATTTCAGCAAAAGGAAACCACCTTGACACATATGGCGCGTTTTCTCTCTCGGAAAATCAGGTCTTTTCTTCTCGTTAACGTCTTTCCTTTTAAAGCGAGAATCGAGCTCATCAGCATTCGAAACGAATCCTAGGGACTCAACATTCTGTTTTCCTCAATTCAACGGAAGAAAAAACACGCGTATGGGCGAGAAAAAAAGCTTGGAATTTCGCTTCTGCAAAAGCGGAGAGAACGTGACAACAGACGCCGAAGAGGGGAAAACCCCACAAATCTGAGAATAAATTTCATCGTCATATATTTTTTTTGGGCTTTTCTTCTTTATGGAAAAAATTAAAATTATGCCTTTCCTATTCCGCCGGGTTCGAAAAAAAAAAAACTTGTTTTGTTTACTACGAATCGAGTTCGTCAACACTGCTAAACTTTTTCTTCAGTTTCTCGCTCTCCCTCTCTTGTTCCGGCTTCGTCATTCGCGACAAATTGAGGTGTTTTATTGAAAATTTTGCGTATCTTTTCTTTCCTTTGTTTCTCAGCTGTTGAAAGCAGGGACACGAGGAGTGGTCGCCATGTTCGAGGATGCGGGGGTGGTGGAGGTCGGAGGGGGTCCGCGGAAAGGGCCCGCAACGCACTTTTGCTTCACGTGCGCGTCCCAGGACTCGTCTTCGGAGAGTTCGTCGTCGCTATCGTCGCTTGACTCTGACAAGTTTGGCCCAGTGTCGTCCCACTGCGCGAATTTGCGGAAATTTTAAATGAAAAAAAAAGAACAGCAAAATCAGCACATGCTCAATGCCAAGATTTTTTTTTTCAGCGTGTTACTTTCACAATTCATGGAACGGTTTAGTAGAACAACTAGACCCCGAACTTATTTGACCACATCTTTTCGTTACAAAAGGGGAGGCTTCAAAAATTTTCTAGAAGATTCGAATCGACTATACCACTTTCCAGACGGGGTTCGAAGTGTACCGTTTATCAACTTGTTGAAAGGCATTCGTACTTTCACTACAAAAAAAATCTCCGATTGCCGGTCATCGGTAACCATTTAAATACTGTAGTAAACATCATTTGTGTTGATTTCAAGTCAACATTCAACTTCTTCATCAGTCCAGCTGTAGAGCGACTTTTGGACCACACATTAAAAAACTCAGCTGAATTATCACTCTGACAAAATCACATTCTTCTCTCCAACCCAAAACTAGAGACAAAAACGTAGTCAACCATCTGAACCAATCCTCGCATCACGTCTCCCATCTTCTTCATTCAGTAGACCTTTACAAACAATATTTTCAAAGATAGTAGCAAATAAAAGAATAAAAACAATTGCCGTTCTATAATTCGTGAGAGAACTTTGAAAAAAGACGGGCAGTTGGCCCGTGGACAGGGACAACGGGTCACCTTGATCGGAGGTTTCGTCGCACGTTGGCCGACAACACGCTTCCCATGCTCGCCGCCGTCTTCCGCCTCTCGGTGCAACACGGAGGCGAATTCCGACTCCGACATCGGGAACTTTCGACGTTCGTAGTACTGCTCGATTTTTTTAATCCACCGAGGACATGCGGAAGCAATACAAGCATCGAAATTAGAAACGTCATAAGGAAATAAGACTTTTCCCGATGCACATCCGAAAAACACGGATCATTGCAAAATTTAAAAAATAACAGTATTGTATATCCATTACCCGTCGATTTTATTTTTTCAGGAAAAAAATCAAATCAGAATCGACGTTCTCGTTTTCTTTTATGGAAGTAGAGAATATTTCAAAAATCCACGCCATGCTTCAACTCTGATTAGGTTCAGAGTGAAGGTCACAAACTTTGGCTTCGAATAACATTCGAAAAAGAAAAGAAAAAAACCATGTATGTACAGCGTTATATAAGTAATTGACTTGTTTTTGTACTCACGCTGGAAGACTCAGGAGAGTGGAGGTGTTCGTCTTTCGACGCGGACCGCGCACCGAACGTCTTCCCACGAAGGGACGACTTGGACGAGGTGTAGAGATCTCTCGAATCGGCAGCAATGGCGTCCATGGACTGAGGTGTTGGAGGCGGTGACGACAATGACGGGCTAAACGCTCCACTCTGTTCGCTGCCCTGGTCAACGCTTAGCGGGGACGTGGCTCGAGCTGGTCATTCGAGAATGGAAAAAAAAATGTTTAAGCACAATGAGATTAAAACAGACACGCTTTCCGGCACAGTTGATTGGATAACAACGAAGCTAATATTAGACACGAGAAATCAACAAGCAGTACGACATTGGTTGGAACAACATTCATATCTTTTTGCTGCATTCGGCAACAAATGGCTTTTGAAGAACCAAGATACTATAAGTCGATTCCAAAAGGTATAACATTTTTTCTTTGCTTCAACTCAAAAATTCTGTGAAACAGTTGACTTTAATCAACTAGGTGTCGCGTGAATTTCATACCTTTTTTTTTCATTGATTAAGATACTATAAGTCGATTCCAAAAGGTATAACATTTTTTCTTTGCTTCAACTCAAAAATTCTGTGAAACAGTTGACTTTAATCAACTAGGTGTCGCGTGAATTTCATACCTTTTTTTTTCATTGATGCTGTATTGTACTAAGGTTGGTTGTTTGGTTCAAAAGTATTGTAAGTCTCCGGCTTTTTTACTTAATTGGACGGATCGAGGAGTAATGACGTTTGATAATTTCATTACCCATGTCCACAAATTTGCCCATTCAAGTTGAAGTGCAGAGGAGACGTCGATTTGAAAGTTCAATGGATTAGATTATTAGAATACTACACCCCCAATGGAAAACTGGGATTACCCGCCACAGTCAAGAGAAGTTCAAATTGAGAGATCATCGAAGAACCTTCTTAGCGACAGATATTTCAGATGTGACAAAAGAACGTTTCAATAAGGATCTCTCAAATTTCTTTGCAAGCGTCATAACGCAAGTACAGCTTGTCCTCGGATTCCAAATAGTGAACACACACACAAAAAACTTTCCAAAGCCGGGACTATGTTCGAAGAAAATCTTCGGGAAATCGACAGTGGCTCGACTTAAATTGCGATATTGGTCCCACAGTGATTCCGTCAATCCTGACTCATAGACTTAATTAAATCAAAGAAAATAGTACTGTATCAAAATACTTTAGTGCGTAGTGCTGACCTATCTGTTGAACCGCTTCTCAAACGTTTTTCCACGGTCGTTTACATAGGGCTAGGCTAAATTAGACTCAAATGAATCGAGTCACTTTCGGAGGACTGATTCTGCTGTTTTCTCTCTTGAATTGATTCAGGCGACACCTACCGGACATTTAACAAGAGCATCGACTGCTATTTCTCTTCTCACGGACGGTTGTGCTTCGATTAGTAAAAAAAAAAATTACAATACAGTACATCTTCTCAAAAAATTCGAACAACCATCCACTCAAAATTTGCGATAAATGTTAGCTATTCGTACCAGGCGTTAAAGTGCCCGAAGAGGCATTGACGGTGTTTTTGCGTGCTCGACCTCGTCCTTGGGCCACAGCACCCGTCGTGNTACCAGGCGTTAAAGTGCCCGAAGAGGCATTGACGGTGTTTTTGCGTGCTCGACCTCGTCCTTGGGCCACAGCACCCGTCGTGCCCATCAGCCTTCTCCGCTCCTCTTCCTCGCTGCTGAAGTGAAGAACGGCGAACAGATGGTCCAGCATTACTCGCTTCGAACTAGCAACTTCCGAATGATTCCTCCACGTCTGCTGCAGGAATTGGAGAAGAAAAAGAAGAAAAACAATCATATATTTTGCATATTCGTCTGCGACAGAGCTTCCTTCCAAAAATACCCACGAGCTACCCTTGATTTTTAATAAAGCGTAAAATTCGGCCGGTGGAAAATATGAAAGACGCCAAATCTGACACTTGAAGGCCTCTTACACACGGCCTCAAAAATATGGCATTTTCGATTTTCACTGGTGAAGCAATCGCATGATTTCTCTTGACAAAGAAATATCTTTCAAACAAAAATGTTCTGAAACTGAATTTTATTCTTTCATTAATTGTCATTTCAGAGACACGAGACACCGGAGGACGACCCCTACCTTGTATCATCAAGTGATCGAAAAGATTGAGCAGTCATCCACAGGATTTGCACAATAAATAGACTGCGCGGAGCCCCTCAGCAAAAACGAGAAAAAATTAAATTAAATAGCGCAAAGATTAATGAGATAAACTGAACAATCATTAAACATGCGTAATCTACGAAGACAGCTGTGTCCATAACTCAGAAGTAATTACCTGTAAGATTTAGGTACCAGTGAACATTAACAACTATTAATGCCGACGCAACTCTTCAGGGGTTCCGCTT